GTACTAACAGGTTGGAACTTTTGCCCTTTGTAGAAAAAGAGACAAAGCAGAAGGAGCCAAAGTTGAGTCCGGAATTCGGCGGGAAGTTACTCGTGCTTGCTAGCTTGAACAAGGATATTCGGGACTATAAAAAGCTTGTGGTAGATCCGAAGCTCGAAGCTGCTTGTCTATCTCCTGGAGTTTCTACTTCAAAGTTTGATCCCGGTAAGGCAATTTCGATATACGATAGCTTTATCAATACTTCAACACGCGTAAAATAACTTTTGTTGACTTTGTTTGTCTTATGTTTTGATGCAGTATACTATCCCCTGCTCGGATTTTTGGGATACCGAACTGTGAAAGAAGCTAAAGACTTCAGGAGTAAATATCCGAACAAGGATCTGTAGTCCAAATTTGGCAAAAGCCGAGATCTACGATTAAACAACATCATGAGGAGGGATTTGGTACGCGCTTTGGTGAAAAGAACTGCCAATCAAAAGACTGCTGGCAAAAAATCAACCAAAGCGGGGTCAAGTGCGACTTCGGCTGCTGTCCCAGAAAGTCCGAAGCTTCTGCAAGAAGTTGCGCCTACTGAGGTGACACAAGTTGTGAATGCTGCTGCGATCAATCAGGCGGAGCCTGAGCCAAACGTGATGGGAACCGAGCTGGTTGCAGCTGAAACGGTGCACACCGAGGTGCCGAGAGAAGAGTCGGAGAAACCATCCTCTCCTCCGAATTCTGTAGAGTCTAATCAACCAGAGAGAAGGAAGAAGAGGAAGTTGGTAAAGATGTCCGACGTAGGGGCCTCTTCTGGAACAGAGAAGAGATCGAAGAAAAAACACGACTCCGGTCATAAAGCTGGTGAAAGGGATACTGATGAGTCTCCGGTATTTGAGAAGTCTTTCTTGTCCATGGATGAAGAATGAGCTGCAAATGTAAAAGTGCCTGAGGGCGTTGTGGAGGAGTGGTTCACCAATTTTCAGTCGGTTAAATCTCCCCACATGTCCTCGAGGATAGATATGCCGGAGAATGCGAAGAGCGACGCGCGTGTACCTCTGATGGTATGGGACCCCAAGTCCGAAGTGGGCGTCTCTTCTTTGTCCAGTGTGGACAAGTTGAGTTATGCTAAAGCTTGCCTAGGTCGAGCCTTAGTGAGTTTGGTTGCGGCTGAGGACGATCACAACCGAATTGCCGCTCAGTTGGAAGGGAAAAAATAGACCGTGACCGAGAGGGATGTGATGATCGCGTCTCTAAAGGATGAGGCGGCAAGGGTCGAGGCCGAGTTGAAGGAAAAGATCTCTGACCGAGATGTTCATCTTAAGGCAGCGCATGACGAGGTGACTGCATTATCTGAAGAGAAGAAGTCTCTTCATGCCGAGATGGAGGAACGCAAAACCCGCTTGGCCGTTGTTGAACAGCATTCAAAGGCATTGGAAGCCAAGACTGAAGAAGTAGAACAGAAGCTGGTGCAAGAGAAAAAGGAACGTGAGAAGGCTCAGAAAGAATGCTCTGAGGTCCGAGAGCTTATGTCGCGAGCCCGGGATGCGCATCAAGGCGAGATGGCCAAATTGGAAAAGGAGAAGACGTCGTTCGGTGAGTCTATGTATGAGATCGGATTTCAAGCCGGGAAGGACTCTATTGACGAGGTGGAAGCTGTTCAGGCCAGTGATGCTGGCACCAAAGTGGAGGAAGAGGTTGGCCCAGATTTGGAACTTGAGATGAACACCTGTTTGACACTTCGGTGGGTCATCGAACGGTTTAACGCGGGCTATTACGACATAGATGAACTTCGCCTCTTCTTGTTCCGTAAGCTTGAAAAGTATCGCTTCGACATGGAGATAAAAGGGATGCACATAGAGGCATTTGAAGATGAACGAGAGTTCTGTGAATGGATGCTCCGTCGTGCCGAAGAAGTGGTTCCAAATCCCGACTTACCTACGCTTACTGAAGAAAGGGCGGCTCTTCTCCGACGTGTTTACGTCAATATGATTCTTGAAGGGGAAAAGGAGAAACGGAAGGAGTTGGCCGATATCTATGTTACAACACTCGCCGACGTAGAGGTGGAGCAGAACTTCAACGACATGACCACTGAGCAGATCCGTAGCAAAGTCCAGGCTTATATTGAAGAGAAGGCCAAGTCGACGGACAGGGAGGTCGAATTTATTAAAGTCGTCACGCCGTTTGAGGGAAAATCTGACGAAGCACAAGATCCACGTGAGGAGCTCGTCCCGGAGTCGGGTGTGGCCATTGAAGATGCTGCCAAGGCGAAAGAGATAGCCATCTTGGAGCAACTATCTACCAGGATGGAGGTCGGCAAAGGCAGTGGAGTTGGCCAAGATGCCGCGGGAGAAAATGATGTTGTGTGAAGTTTCGAACGTTTTTATTTTTATGTGTTTGAAGTATATAGTCGGGGTGCCAGTATGTTGGCATCCTTAGTAGGATTTCATATCTTTAAATAAGTAATCGGGGACGTCAGGTTGTTGACTCCCTTAGTAGGACATATGTAAGGAATTTCCCGACTTTTTAATATGAATTTGATGTGTTCGCATAATTTCAATCTTGATTTGTGTTTGCTGTATAGATTTAGCGATTTCTAGACCAAGTGTACTGAACTCGGTGCGAATTTAAAACGGGCTGCCCCAACTCGGATTTCGGATTTATTTATATTAGTAACTGAGTTGTGGGTTTTTTGTAAATATGATTTCTGAGTTCCACATTGATCTTCTTTCAACGAATTCGGCCTCTAGCGTAAGTCGGTATGCGAACCTATTAAGAATTCGCAAAACTTAACACATTTTGAGCCGTACGTACGACAAATAGAGTTCACCGAACTTCGTCAGAGTTCGATTATGGAATGGCCCCAACCGATTTGTTTATTTTATATTCGGTGATTATCGGGACCCGTCAAATCATGTTTGCTGAAGTGACGTGGACGAGCCTCAACCCCAACCAAAGCATGCGTAGGGTTTGGATAGATTACGGGGTATCAGCGAGACCGAGTGTCGTAATGTTTACTTCGGTACAAAATATTAATAAAACTGAGTTTCAAAGTTTACATCGGTACCGAGCTGTTGCTCGGATTTCAAAAGTGAAAGTCTTTGAACTTTCAGTACATCAAAAGAGTGATTTCGTTCCCTCAGAGAGGCGAAAAGAAGGTCCGTTCAAAAGGAGAATCGGCTACCCGACTTTGAACCATTATTGATAGAACTTCTTTAGGAAAACGGCATTCCACAAATATTGATGTGGAGTTCCATCAGGGTGAGCAATTCGGTAGGCCCCATGGGGTAGGACTTCAATGATCTGGAACGGTCCATCCCACTTCGGTCTAAGTGGACCGGGGTCAGGCCCCATTACGCGTTTGAGGACTAGATCGCCAACTCGGAATGAACGTGGCTTGAATTTAGAATTGACATACCTCCCGCTTCTATGTTTATAAGCGGCGTTCTTGAGTTCGGCACGGGCACGATGTTCTTCAAGCAAGTCCAAATTATCTTTCATGTTGTCCGAGTTGGACTCTTCGGTCAAATGCTGAATTCGGTAAGTAGGTTCACCGAGCTCGACTGGGACTACGGCTTCTGAACCGTAAGTTAGCGAAAACGGAGTTTCGCCGGTGGAAGTTCTAGTAGTGGTACGATATGCCCATAGGACTTGCGGCAGTTCTTCAGGCCAGGCCCCTTTGGCAGCATCAAGTCGGGTTTTGAGGCCATTCTTTATGAGTTTATTAACGGCTTCCACTTGGCCATTAGACTGCGGATGGTAGGGCGAAAAGAAAAAGTGTTTGATATTATATTCTTCACAAAGGGACTCAAGCCGCTTGCCTTCGAATTGTCGACCGTTGTCGGTGATGATGGAGTTCGGTACTCCGAAGCGGCAAATGATGGACTTCCATACAAAGTCGACAACTTTCTGTTCAGTTATCGTGGCTAATGGTTCGGCTTCAGCCTATTTGGTGAAGTAATCAACCGCTACAATGGCAAATCGGACGCCTCCTTTTCCGGTCGGTAGGGGACCTATGAGGTCAATCCCTCATTTGGCGAAAGGCCATGGACTGTAAATTGATTTGAGCTCTTCGGGAGATTGATGAATGTTGGGTGCAAATAGTTGGCACTTTGGACATTTCCAGACCCATGCAGTAGCATCGGTTTTTAGAGTAGGCCAATAGTATCCTTGCCGCAAAATCTTATAAGATAAGGCTTGTGCACCGGGGTGACTTCCGCAAATTCCTTCGTGCACTTCTTCGAGAACATATCGCGACTCGGATTCGGTTAAACATTTTAGGAGTGGGACCGAATACCCTCTTTTGAATAATGTTCCGTTGTCCAAAGTGTACCGAGCTGCTCGAATCCGAAGTACCCGAGCTTCTTTAGGGTCTGAAAGTAAGGCCCCAGTTTCTAAATATCGAATAATGGGATCCATCCAAGTCAGAGGTTTTTGTGACATCACCGGATCAATGACCGCGATTTCGGAAAGGAGGGTCGACGGTTGCTCTTGCTGTCCGACTTGGACATACTCCATGCTCTCCATCCCGGTACTCGAGGCTAATCGGGACAGGGCGTCTGCTTGAACGTTAAGAGTTTGAGGAATGTGTTCAACGTCGACGGAAAATTTTGATAACTTCCTTTTTGCCAAGGACAGATACGGTGTTAACCGAGGTTCTTTAACTTCATACGACCCATTGATCTGGTTGACAAGAAGTTGGGAGTCTGAAAAGACTTTGAGGTGTTTCACGTTCATGGATTCAGCCAAATTCAATCCGGATAGCAAAGCTTCATACTCGGCTTCATTATTGGTTGCAGGGAAGAGAAATTTTACCGAATGACAGAATAATCGATTTTTCGGATTTCCCAAAACTATTCCCACACTTGCTCGGTTTGCTGTTGAAGAGCCGTCAATGTAACCCATGGCTGGTTATCATCATAAACTTCTACAGCTGGGGTGAATTCGGCGATGAAATCGGATAGGGCTTGTGCCTTGATTGCGGTCCTCGGTTGGTAATGAATATCGAATTGTCCGAGTTCAACTGCCCATTTTATCATGCGTCCCGAAGTGTCAGGCCGATGCAAGACTTGCCGTAGCGGATATGAAGTACGGACAGTTATGGAATGTTCTTGGAAATAAGGTCGCAATTTCCGAGCAACAGTAATGAGTGCAAACGCTAGCTTCTCCATAGGGGGATAGCGTAGTTCGGCATCGTGTAAGGCCTTGCTAACATAATAAATAGGTGACTGTAACATCCCCTCTTCACGTATCAAGATGGCGCTAATCGCTGAATCACTAACTCCGAGGTACAGGAACAGCATCTCCTCGGGTTTCGGTTTATGTAACGTCGGAGGGGAAGCAAGAGTTTCTTTGATGCTGGTGAGTGATTTTTGACACTCTTCGGTCCACTCAAAGCACTTCCCTTTTTTGATTGCTTCAAAAAACGGTTTGCAACGATCTGTAGAATTGGAGATGAACCAATTAAGAGCTGCAAGTCGGCCAGTTAGGGCTTGGACACCCTTGACCGAGGTCGGGGGAGTTAGATCTTGAATGGCTTTTATCTTGACCGGGTTGGCTTCGATTCCCCGTTGGCTGACCATATAGCCTAGAAATTTTCCAGACTCAACTCCGAAGGTACACTTCTTGGGATTTAAAACCATGGAATAAGATCGGAGGATATTGAACATGTCCTGAAGGTGTGTTATATGATCAGAAGTGTGCACCGACTTGACGAACATGTCGTCTACATAGACTTCCATGGTATGGCCTATCAAATTGGCAAACGTCTTGTTGACAAGACGCTGGTAAGTGGCCCCAGCGTTTTTTAATCCAAATGGCATCATGGTGTAGCAGTACAAACCCCGTGCCGAATAAAACGAGGTGTGTTCTGAATCTTCGGGATCCATAGGAATTTGGTTATAACCGGAGTAGGAATCCATAAAGCTCATCAACTCATGTCCCGAAGTAGCATCAACCATATAATCTATGTGAGAAAGCGGATAACTGTCTTTCGGGCATGCTTTGTTCAGGTCGGAAAAGTCGATACATAATCTCCAAAGGCCATTGCTTTTCTTGACAAGGACGGGGTTGGAGACCCATGTTGGATATTTGGCTTCTTTAATGAACTTGTTGTCGATGAGTTTCTTGACTTCCTCTTCCAATGCTTTCTGGCGAT